GAAAAGTCCTATCCCTTTTGACCTCTTTGAAGACATTATTCCCTGATTTTTATCGAGAGTTTTCTTAGGTGACTTCGGTCATTTAAGATGTAATTAACTATAGGGGCTTGCCCTTATAGGGAGCTTTTCCGAACCCAGCTTAAAATAAACCCTATTTAATTATTTGTATTAAATAGGGGAACTTGTCGGCAAATAAAACGGTTTCGCAGACCCAAACGGATATCATATCTTTCTTAGTTTATTTGATCGAGCTTCACCTTCAAGTCTTGTGTTTATCCCTTGGGGTAGATACAGGATTTGAGGTTGAGTGCTCTTTCATTTAAACTATGGAAAATATGAGGTCAGTTTGATTTCATATTTTTTTTCTAAAATTATATATATATACGTAAATTAAAAAGTCCTTCCGAAGCGGGCGACGGGATTTCGATTCCGGCTGCCGACAGCTTCTTACGGGCGACCCCCAAACATTAACTTTTTCCCCTTTTAAGCGCCGACAACATCATCGTTTTGGGGTTCTCTATGTTGTTCTCAGCCAAGACAGTCGTCGAATGATGCCTAACCCCTTCCAAAGGCCTCCGACCTACCACATTCTCATTCCCTTGCCATTCCACGACCACCTCCCTGCTAAATCTCCTTCTAAAGGACTTCTAGACCCCCTAGAACGGGGTCACTACAAAAGTTTTGATATAGTCTAATTTGAAGAAAAAAAAATTAAGATGATATGATGAGGTTCAATGAGACAACAGAATAATCATCTATTAGCTTTAAATTAACAAAGAATTTGCCAATAAAGTAAGATGCCCAGTAATCAAACAACCATAGAAATCTCCCCATCAGTAAAGAGAAGAGCAAGCATGCCTTGAAAATATGTAGATGGTTATGAAAAGTCTCACCGTTCTATGATATCTAGCCAACTGTAAAGCACATTCAACAAGACAGACCACTGTCCATGCCAAATAATAAACATGTGATCATTCAACGCTGCAGCAAGTCATTGTCACCTGTCACTATCCAAGACCCCAAATTTAACGCTCTTTCATTCTAAAATGACATGGAATCACTACCAATCTTATCAATGCACTGAACTATATACTGCCATAATTGCTATAGAATAGCCTATAAGTCAAAGTGTTAAATTCGACTATAAAAACCCTATCATCTCATCATACAAAGTTTATCGAATTTTGCATGTTCACTCAAACACAAACTTTGAAGCATTCATCTAGTCGGTTTCAAAGCATTGTCTGAGGATTCTCCTCTTTATTTCACCTCTGACATTTAAATATACTATTAAGGTTGTCAGCATATTAAAAGGGCTCTTTTTAAAGCCTACATCACATCTTCATTCATCTTATACTAAAGGCATGATTGCTCACATTATTATTTCTCTTTCTCTTTACGCCTTATGTAAAGATAAAAATTTACATTTCTCATTCTCTCAAGTGTAACCTCTCTATACCGCAATTCTCTGCTCTCTTCTCACTCACTCTCTCTCAGAGCTCTCAAGAAAGCACTAGAGAAAATACGGAACCTTTCAGCTATATTTTATTTGTTGTAGTAAATATTTTCTCGTCCCCAAAGAAATACACATAGGTATCCGAATAAAACCACTACAAATTATCTTCTTTTGTGCAGTTGCAAATTCATTTCCAGAGTTAAACATAACACTTTTTTTTTTCTTTTTCTTCAACTCCCAACTGTGACTTTCACTTGGCTTGCCTGGAAAAGTATCCATCATTGACATCAAGCATAAAAAATGAGTGATTTTCACCAAGCCATGACATCATCAAATCACATGAATCGAAACAGGAACCAACAACTAGCAACAACTCCTTTAAGCAAAGTTCCAAAATCTTATCTAAAGCTCCTTCAAGGATTGTTAAGGAATTCCCTCAAATATGCAAAATTTGAGTCTTTATAGACTTGCGAAGGGCTAATCTGGTTGCATTCAATCCAAAATTTCATGCATATCAGGGATGAATGAAGGAGATTAAGGTTGTCCTATCATCAAAGATATTGTAGATTTGTATTGAACAGATCCCCATCCAAGGCCAACCAGCCCAAACTCGAGCTAAACCGAGAGGATGGCAGCCACCACTGATGATGTCTTGAAACAACAATTCGAGAATAGCATGACGTTTGGGCAACATTGCTAGTACATCAACAGTGACAGAGAAAAGTAATATTCATCAAATTAATGAGATTAATTATTAGTAGAATTCTCACGTTTTTATTCGGATTATACAGTACATACAAAAATGGAAGTGTCTTTTAAATATCATATGGAATGCTTCTCTTCCAAAGAAGAGTATAATAAAACAAATGCTTTGAAAAAAAAGGCATGTAGAAGAAAACATTTTTTATGAATTACAGATTCAAAAAGAGAAATGCACATGAACAAACGCACGCTGCAAACTAATAGTAATGAACGTGCCTAATGTACTTCTCATCAATGGACAAACCTAGAGTCCAATCTGAAAACCCTAATCACTAAGGGCTTCATGGCACATGCAAGGAAAAAGAAGTTGGCCAAGTTGAACCAAGATAGTCTATTACAGTTAAGTTGATTCGACTTGTTATAAAGATTTGGATAGTCAAACCCTGATTAAAGCTGTTAAAGTGTCCACAACTTTTACAAAGGTTGTCTAAGAATTGACCAACCAATTTAAGTTCATTAGAACATTGATTCAATCAAAATAAGTCAAAAAGGACTTTGGTTTGACCATTCTAGCATGCCACGAGAACTAAGATTCACACCAAACAATCAGGATTTTATAATTCCAATAATATGTAGAGCAAACATGTTGCAATGTTTGTTTTTTTTATATATGAATGAATGAATTCTTATGTGTATCTGTATGTATGGATGAAAATAAATTTTTAAGTTCACATATAAATACATCAAAACAATTTCGAGTTAAATCAAACTTCTTTCAAGGTAGACATCCTCAAATCAAAGCACTCGATTTTGAGTCAATTAAAATTTGTGTGATTATTGAGATTTGAGCATCAGAAATAATTAGCAGCCACCAATGCATGAAAAAGAATAAGATGGAATCACGAAATTACCTGGTTTAAAGCATCCTGGATTGACATAATTTGGGAATAAGAAGCCTCTGTTGGAGGAGCGAACATGCCACTCCGATGTTCATTTGAAGAATCAATGGAGTTGAAAGGACTTGAAGACGGTGATGATGAGCCTGATACTTGAGCCTGCTTGGCTTTTTGCTTCTTTCCTTTTGCAGCTTTTGATGCTGGAATATCAAAAAATCCAGTTTCTCTTTGAGAAAGATCTGTTGTGTTTTTCAGGACAGTTTCCTCAATATTACCAGAAGACTGCTCAACCGCACCAGCAGCACTACCATAATCACCCACCTGAACTTCAATCCCATTATAAAGACCTGCATTAAATGCATCACCTTCTTTTGGCTTGTCATTCATGATATTTGAAACTGACGAACTTGACGGTTGATCCTTACTCTCATTATAAGCATTATTTGCCTCTTTCTGAGAACTGAATTCCTCAGACTTATCCAGCACACTCTCATCCACGACTTTAATTACTTCAGCATGCTTCAAATCGTTGTTGCCGATCAGATCTAGAAGCTTCACTTCATCAATTCTCTGATTAGCAGCAGTTTCAGATGAAGACTTCACACCTGACAAAATTTCTAATGGAGTCACCAAGTGAGTTCCACCCAACTTGAACATTAGAGGAGAATTCTGAATCATAGATGTATCGCTTGGACCAGTTTTCATGTTATCCCCTCCGAAGTTGTCATTAGTCAAAGGACGATTAGGCAAGTTTACAGCCCCATCATGTTCTCCCTGTTCAGCTTGATAATCACTAACTTCCTGATAAACATCACGCTCCCCAAGTGATTTCCCATGTTCTAAACCTTTCAATGCAACTTTAGAACCAGTAAACCTCTGTGAGAGGTCCAAATCTAAAGGATCAGGGGATGAAGTAGGGTGTAAATTATCACTGCCAACACTTGGAAGTGGAGGAGCAGAAGGATGAATATCAACATTCGATGAAGCCAACTCGGGAATATTGTTAGCATCTGAAGATAACAAATTTGGAGGACAAACAACCATGTTCTCAGAGTTGCTTACACCAACAGAACGTATGGGTGAAGCAGCAGCAAATGGAATATCACTAGTACCACGTGAAATCTCTGATGCAGAAAATCCTGTTGAACTAATTCCATCATAAACATGAGAAATACAGGGGTCTTTGGCCAATAAAAGGTTATCAACAGGTGGCAAACACTGTACCAAATTCAAAGCATATTGTTGAATAGCCTGTGTTTGGACGCAGTAAACTTGCACCACATGTTCACCATCAGGATAGATGTCACTTGTTCCTGTGAGACTCAAAATAGGCATTGTAACATTAAAGTCAGCAATATAGTCCATGCAGGTTGCTGCTGGATGCGGACCATAATCAATATGGACAGCATATATAGCATTCTTCTTAGCATTTGCAAGTAATATAAGGCCTTCTTGAGGCATAACAACGACTTGATTAAAAAAGGCCTCCTCTACTTGGTGTTCTGACGAACATTTTAATTCCAATGTTTGATTACATCTCCATGATTCAGAATCACTGGGTAATAACCAGCCTTCTTCAGCTGAGGAAGTCCATAACTTCAGTTCACGGTTCAATGGACCCTGTAGCAACAATCATGACAACAGTTTACCATCCTTCATGACTGAAGAGATAAATAATAATAAACTAATAAATAAACAATAAGTTTGAAAATTGAAGTTGAAAAAGCCAATGTTCCAAACCGAAGTTAGAAGAACAATGTGATCAGGGCATTGCGGGGGCGTCATGAATGAAACTGAATGGACTGGTTGGCCTTCATGTGGCCTCAATGTCACAAGGGGCAGTGACTTCCGATCATCCCATATTTTTACCTGTGAAATCAAAATAAAGAACAAAGTATCAATAAATGGTCCAACACGAGGAGTTCAATATAAAAGTAAGTTACGTATGGGTTAAAAAGGGCATGTTAATTTTTTTTTAAGAACAATTAAATTAAATTAAAGTCAATTGAGCTTATAGTTCGATGCCACTTACGTATAAGAAAATATCAATAATATTCATTAATATAAAATGGGCCAAAAAAAATGCCCCAAAAACTTGCTTGTGTCAAAAAGCCCCTATTAAGCAAGTTAATGTTATGGCGTGCAGTAACATTCTCCTCTTTAGAATAAAGCATAGAAGACTTGCACCAAGCACAAGTTGATTCAATATATATATATATATATATATATGGATAGATAGATAGATAGATATTTATAATCAAACATGTTTCCAAAGATTGTTGAAAATGGGCCTATCAAATGCATAAATAAAATAAGTGTTAGGCAGATTGAGAAAGGGTAAATGCAAATTAGCATGGATAGAATTAGTTAATAATTTATGAAGAATAATTTTACACATAAAACTGACAAATTATAAGTTATTAAACAAAATTTCCAACAAATTCATTACATTTTCATTCTTCACATATTCCATTTTGATTAATCATCCACTCTGATAAATTATAAGAACTTATTTGCTCTTTACAGAGCAATTAGTACTGCTAGTGTAATCATTCGCAGACCACAATGCCCTTCATAAGCATTACTAAATATGCTTAATGGGATGCTTTAGTCCATTACATTTTCATTCTTCATATATTCCACGTTGATTAATAAATCATAAGAACTTTTTTTTCTCAACTGAGAATTTAGTACTTCTAGCGTAATCATTCACAGACCACAAGGCCCTTGAATTCATTTGCATTACTAAATATGCTTAATGGGATGCTTAGTCCATTTCCTGCAATTATAAATTAGCTTTTTTATGTATAGAAGTTAGCAGCTAAGATGTTTTTTCAAAGCAATAATAATGCATCTTGTTCTAAGTTTTCCATTAGAAAATTTAAACCTCATCCAAAAATGGAACACTTTGTTTTCAACAGGGCAAAACCAGAGAACCCAAGCAATCTCGGAAAGCAAAAGAAATTGATTTTTCCATAAAACCAAGAAACATAGTTCCTAAGCAAACAATGTAGCAATAATAAACGCACAACAAACACAAGGGTGTATATACAACTTGCTTCTATTCCCAATTTCAACATAGTGCGTAAAGAAAGGCCCTCTATGTGTGGAAACCAAGCAGCCTACCCTGTAACCTGCACCATATAACAGAACCAAGAGGTTAACATCTCCTAACCTGATATTAAGAAATTAAAATATATGCATTATTTCCTGCAAATGCGAAATCACATAAACTAATAAATAGCTCTACGCATTCCCCCGTCTCAGTAACCTCAAGTTTCCACACTATTTCATATATCACAAAATAGATGAACTGTCACATCCAAAGAGAAGGAAAGGACCAACAGAACATCAAACAATACCTTCTTTCAAGTAATTTTAAAAACCAGAAGACAGACAGGCCACCCTCCCTTAAACATTCACTTGACCTTTCAAACCAAACGAGATGGCCCCAAAAAATGGGTAAACATATTAAAGAATTGACTAGTAATCACATTGAAACTTTTGAAAACAATATTCCATAGCCCACACCACTGTTTAAAATACATCTTCAAACTACGCCAACTTTGACTAAGAAGATCAAACAGTTGTTCTCAGTTTCAAACTTTTAGATCAGCACAGATACTTCTTTTTAAGGGCTTGCAGCTGCTTGCCACGAAACAGAACTCCTATTAAATGACAAATATCAGTGGCACCAAATTAATGGAAATTGCTGAAAAACTTAAAAGAAAAATACAACAATTTTTTTTTATTCCAATGGGTAAAACGGAAACGATATCTATAAGAGAAATATAGCTGATAAAGAGGAAAAACCGGAAAAAAAATTAATATAATCAATTACAATCAATTCAAAATTTTAAAAAAATATTCCAGAATCAGAAATCGTGGTTGGCAAACTGCTTTTGAAAAGGCTTGAGGTCGTGGATAGCCAGGATGGTTGATTGAAAAGCAGAAGACAATCGAAAAGGCTAGGTAGAGGTAGATAGATTATCCAACGGGGATTGGATGGAAATTGCTAGGATTGAGATTTCCCCGCCCCCTCAAACTAAGTACAAAGGTTGATATTTTCTAACTTGAAAATAAGATTTCTAATTTATGATTGCGTATAAGGTTTAGTGAAGATAACCATTGCCTAAAGTTTTGTCAATATAATTTGGTTGGATGATACCCTAATCAACTTTCTCCTTTATAAAGTGTTTATCAACTTCAAAATTTACCTGATTATGATGGAAAGAACTCTTAGCATACTGATAGCAGTTTAGTTATGAAAACTCATTATCATATGTTTTGTAGTAGAAAGATTTTTAAATGTCTGAGAACATGTTTAAGCCATGAAGCTTCAAAATCTCATGGGTCATGCTGCTTCAGTACAACTCTAAGCTACCACATGCTGCTTTTTATTTCACCATGTAACTAAACTTGACCACCAAAATGAACAATAATCAAATGTAGAGTTTCTATCTGTTACTGATACAGTTCAATTAGCATCAACAAAAATTTCAGAACTCTTGAAAGCCCTCTTTTCGAAGAATAACACTTTCAGGTACTTTATTTATGATATCATAGTATATGTTAAGGCATCAAGTGCTCCTTTATGGGGTAATTCATAAATTGACTAACAATGCTGTCAGGTTTAGTGTGAGATAGGAAATAAATTGCCCTACTAATCATTGGTGCATTCTTTTGTCAACTGGGTTGAATCTTTCTTAATTCCAATTTTGTTTATTGAATCCATTCGTGTGTTTGCAAGCCTACATCTAAGCATGATAATTGCCTGCAGTAAGTACAGAATGTGTTTTTGATGCCAGACAGATACTCCTTTAAAAGATTTTGTCATTTACAAGCCAAAAAAAAATACTTTAATAAGCCTGGATTCTTGATAATAAATTCTTCAAAAAGGACATAATTTAGCTTGTTTATCTCTTCCACTTAGTCCCAAATTAAGATAATGTCATAAACATAAACAATTAGGAAAAAAATAAAAATACCTTCAGATGATTTCTTGATAAATGAAATGTGATCATATTGTCGTTTAAATTAGTCATGTCATTTAATCATCATAATAAATCTGTCAAACTAAAATTCTCAATGAATACTTTAAGACAAATGAGTATTTTTTTTAGTATGCAAACTTCGTTTGTTTTGTTCTACCTCTCAAATTGAGAAGATATTGTCACCTGGGCTTTTCTTTTATCAATCAATGCATTTTTTACATTAAATTCATAGAGTGCTAATCTAAATTTGCCAAAATAGATAAAAATTACCATGATTGTGCTTATCTTAGCAATTCGCGATAGGTTTATTAAAAAATCAACATCACAGGTTTTGAATGAAATATGTTACGACAAGTCTTGCTTTGTATCAATCAACACTCCTATCTGCTCTGTAGTCTGTACTTAACATGAAAATTCATTTACAACCAACAACCTTCTTCCTTTAAGGAAATTTTGAAAGCATCCAAACACCGATTATTTTAAATGCCTACATTTCATACTGAATTGTATGCCATCATTCAAAAAATTTTATAACTTTTTAAATTTGTAAATATTAAACAAACCTAAAGTAAAGGCAAGAAGTTAGGAGTAATTTGTCATAGAAAATATGACTGATCGAGTATTTGTAACAAATTCTTATGTTTTTCCATAAAGCAACAATAAGTAAATAAGCCATTGAAACAGAGCTCGATAAGCTAACAAGTCAAACACCAAGAACAAAATTTTGTAGCCTTTTGCATAACAGGTCCAGTCAAACAACAATTAAGCTTGCTCAAGCTCAACTTGTTTATACCCTTAGCAGAGATCCTATAAAATCGAACCATAAATATTGCAAAACTGAGACTTTTATAAAGATTTGGTGTTCTCCCCCTAAATATTGAAAAAGAATTATTATATTTTTTAGAAGGTTACAAAAACACAGGCGGACTTCTTTTTTTTTCTGGCATTGAGTAACATTTATAATCTTGTTGATGAGGATAACAGTCAATAAAAAAAGCATTTTATGATTTTTACGTCAAGCTTTCTTTTTCGATGAAAAAGCAAATGTACCAAAGCATTTTGAGGGAGATAACGGAGATGAGTCTATTTCTTGGATAGGCAAGGCTAAGAGTTTGAGGAGAGTTTTAAAATTTAGAATTCATGTTATATACAGCTAAAGAGATAAAAAACCACTCCCAAAAATATTTTGGGATATTACTCGTGAACATAATTGATTGAGCAACATCTAAGATCATTTTTTCATTTATCCAATTAAATTTTCCTGAGAACTAAAGATGCATATTGAGCATATTTTCTAGTCTTTCAAGATTCCCTTCAAAGTATGAAGCAGTGACTAATATTGTCCTTTGCCTTACTAATCATCCCTTCTAGGAAGTGAGACCATGTCATAAAATTTACTGTGTAAGATGAAATTTAGTGGTACAGATCATATATTTGGGGATTTTATCTATTAGTAATAAATTGTGAGAAATCTTAATAAACCAGATAATTTGAGTTAAGAATCATAAAGTTCACGATGGTAACAATTCCAATGCCAATAACTTGTGATTTTGACCAATAAATAATTATGACTGTGTATGAAAAGTATAAAAAAAAGGTAGCATTCCCTATTATAAAATCACAGACTCCAATGTCCACTACATAGAATTAGATTTTTCATTTTGGATGCTAAAGGAGCTCAAAAGAATCAAAACCATATCTTTTCGAGCAAATACACCAAAATTGATTTCTAGTGCTGAGATACCAGTATTGTGATGAGATCTAGCTTCATAGCAACAGGCGGTACCAAAGGAGTAGCATCTTTCCACAGTCAAGCCATATTTGATCATCGTTGTGGTTTAAGCAAAACTTTAGAGAATGAACAAGGAAAAATTA